CCCCAAAACCCCAAAACCCCTCGATTCAAAATATTTAAGTAGTAATAATAAATCAATAAAATCAAATGTATTAATCCTTTGCTAAACATTTCGTTTAATCTCAAGTTTTATTAAGCATGATCTAGATTGTGATAATTTTATACAAAGAGTATTCATTTTAATGTTCTTCATTTAACTTCAAATGCTATCCAGTGGACTTAGTGAATTCAAAATTGCGATTTTAATTGCAATTCCCTTGCAAAATATTCATTGAAATATCCACTTCCTGTTTATCGCTAATCTTACAAATAAGTTCAATTATCTTTTTAGCATGCTCTCTGTTGACTATTTTCAAACTACTTTTATTATGGTTAAATTATTAAAGCCACAATAGCACAATTTCGAATTCACTGTCTGGAATTAACTTATAGTCTACAATATCTAATTGATTTAGTATCTTTGATAATTCATATTAATGCTGCCTAATCCTTGAAAAATCATTTTACTATGCCTTTTCTGAATTGAAGCGATTCGCATTAAACATCCTAACTGGATTTAAAGTTTTAATAGTTCTTTCAGTTATTGCCTTGAAGGCTTACTCCCTAGATTTTGTGAATCTGATAAAGTATTTATTATGAGTTCTGATGGGTTCACTTCTCTCATTCATTTCGTTAAGAAGTTCTGGGTTGCCCAAACCATCTGCTGTTAGAACTCTTCTATTAAATAGTAATTCTATTATCCCATCTCTAAAACCAGAGCCTGCTTGTGGCCTATCATTCATTACTATCATTTACAAAGACTTTTGATTATTTTCTATAAAAATTCCTGTATTGATTGGGTAAAAATTAGCTGGAGCTGTTGATTTTAGATCGATTTCTTCTAGGCCATTTCTCCTTAATCTTTTTACATATTCTAAGCCATTAGAGTCTGTGTAGAAAATTCCATTATTTTAAATATCCTCTGAAGAAAAATTCACTGTAGCTTCAACATTTACATCAAGTCCATCTCTCTTTACATCAAATTCAATATCACCGCAGCCATCCTCATTTCTCGTCAAGTAAACTGTTACTATTGAAAGAGTATTCTTTGCTCTACTCTTATAAGTAAATTATATAGAAGTTTGATAATCCCCTGATTATTTTTGTATTAGTATTAATTCATCACTAAAGTATGAAGATTCAGATTATTTAGTTTTAAAGACATAGATTCCTCCTTGGTCTTTGTATCCAACATAAGAAGAATAGTATTTGAATTAGAAAGTTAACTTGACTGTCATATTGTGGACTAAATCTTTTAAAATAAATTTGATTTCTCGTGAATTTGCATCATCTACTGCAAGCAAGCAGCTATCTTTGAATCCTATTTCTCTATGAATGTTTTAATGCTGGGTTTCTTATGTTGATTCATTAGTATCAGGTTTCTCAAAAACAAGTTCATTTCCTGAAGATTCTTCTATAATAATTTCATCTTCAATTAATGCACTAGTCTAATCATACTCCTACTAGTTATCTAATTTGGATAGCTGATTCTTTTCAAACTTCTAAAGTTATCTAAAGGGTTTTAATCCATAAGTAATCTCAAAAATTTCATGAGAAAAAGGGGCAATATTTAGGGCTACAAAAAGATCAGCATAGTCATTTTATTCATAATTTTTCAAGTTTAGAACATCTATTTTAACATCATTAAACTATCTATTAGTCCAATCCCAAACTCTAACTTTATAGTGAAGTTAAACATCCAAGACTCTTAATCTTACACCAAATTAATTGTATGTATTTGGGTTATGTATTAGAGTATAAATAACAGTTTAGAAGCCAAAAATCAATGGATTGTCATGATCGTCTTATATATTGTGATAATCAATTCTCAAGTTTTCAAATAGTCCTTGGTATATATTACCTGAAACTTATCTGTTGAGAAAATCTGTATTTTGATAGTTTAGGAGTTTCACCTAATCAATATGCTACCTCATCACATATTCAATTGAAGTTCCAGTTATTGTATCATGATGCATTAGCAATGCCCACTCCTCCATGAGCTTTTATGAATAGTAAACTACTTCTAGATTTTCAAGTTTATCTTGACTCAATTAATATTGAACATACTCATTCAATGAATACTAAGCTAGTTAAGTGAATTATCTTATTTGATCCTTGTGATTAGGCCTGCTTGTATAAAATCCATTCCAATAGTGTTCATAATGAAACATTTTAAGAGGCAAGAAATCTCCAGAGTAGGCATTAAGTTTGAGATTTCTGTATTTCAATTCTTCCTTTAAGTCTTTTAAATATCTTGAAAATGTACTGTATTTAAAAACATATCTATCTGTAAATTAAGCTATCTTCTCTGTGAATCTATCGATGAAATTAAAAGTAACTTTTGCATCACTGTAAGCAAAATCATCCCCAAACATCATCAAAATATTTTAAGTCTTATAACCCATTGTAAAATCCTCTAAGCATCTTATTATTCGCTTATTTCCTTCGACTTTAAAATTTCTTCTGATGAATCCATCAAAGTCAAATGTTTGCAATTATCTAGGACTTCCAATTCCAATATCACAAGGAGTAGCATAAATATTATGAGTGAGATGGCTATAAATTCCATCATGTGCCTAGTAATCTGAATCTATGCCCACAAATTTTGGGTTCCAAATAAATGCCATATCCTAAGTTTAAATCATCCTCTCCTTATATTCATCCTTCATTCTACCAAAGAAAAATGCCTCAAAGCCAAGTTCTTTAAAAAGTTTAGCTGTTTATGAAGAATGTCCGAAAGAATCAGCATGCCAAGCAACTTTCGGTGTAAATCCAAATTGTTTTTTCAAAAAATCATGACCTCTTTTTATATTCTCTAACAAATCAAAGTAAAGTGGACAGGCCTCATCACTCGCAACCCAGCCTCCATTAACAATCTCTAATCTCCCATCTTTAATATATTGAGCTACATCACTTTTAGTTTGGTTATTTTGAACATTCCACCATTATTCAAAGAAGTACATCTCAGCATAGATAAATGTAGTATTTTCATCTTCTTTCAAATATTTCATCACACTATTCAAAATTGGAATTACACTTGCTTTATAGTAATTTTCTGGTGTGTTTAACCAGCCAGGATCAGTGTGACTGTGAGGAATTATATGTATAACTAGCTTACTAAAAGGTTCTTGATCTTCATACTTAAAGGGCTTTTCGCTAAATTTTTGTTGATTTTAATTTGTCTTAGGGGTTCCTCCTGGTGCTAAAATTTGTCTCAAATAATCAGAATCTCTTGGAATAATATTAGTACTAAAGGGGCTTGGATTTTATCCCCCAAGCTAAGCTTAAATAACCTAGATAGAAATCAGGAGAGTAACCAGATAAGAGAAACTATTGTTCGTATTTCTTATTAGTTATCTATATATTAATAATGAGCATAAGATGAAAAGTGTTTACTATTTAAAAAACTTACTATTTATGCATCATTTTATATTATACTTTAAAATTTTATTAATTAGCTATTTTTACAAATTTCATTTATAAATAATTTTCTTAACTATTTATTTAAGTTCAAGGGGTTTTGGGGTTTTGGGGTTTTGG